GACATGACTCAGCCCATCTTGTTTCTGATCATAAAAATTCGTTCAAAGGAGTTAAAGAGACAAGAAGCTCAAGGGTTATTCAAAGAATATCAAGAGTCATTCAACCATTAGTTAATATTTGTCTTTAATTTTAGTCTAAGTAATAATTTCGAGATTGTCTTGTTTTCTTCACATTTCTACTCTATATAATCATGTAATCTCTAAGAGAAATAATCAGACTATCTTTTTATCAAACTTCTTCTTTGAGAGTAATTCTCACTTTTGTTCCTTATGAACATTTTCTGATCATTTGGAGGTTATCCTTTGATCATCTCACGGTGAGTCATATCCGTTTTTCGATTGTTGGTGAGTCATATCCATAAATCACAACTCGATCTGTTTGGTGAGTCATATCCAGACGATCACAAACTAGGCTTGTCTTGGTGAGTCATATCCAATGAGTCATTTCGGTAAATCAGGAGCCTTTCTACAGCTACCTGTATGACCATTCAATCCACATCCTTTGTTCTTTGAAGCCTTTTGGTTCCTTAGAAGCAAAGCTTATCCATTACCAACTTCAGAGTGCTGATTTCTTGGGAGGATTCTATCAAGTGGTATCAGAGCAACACTCTCTAGTTTGGTATTTTATCCTTTTCTCATTTTTTTTATTTCCTCTTTTGACCTTCTCATCTTCTCATCTTTTCATCTTCTTTCATTCTTCTTCTACCTTTTCATCTTCTTTTCTTTTGATTTCTATTTTTTTCTTTTTTTTTATTTTCGTCATTTCAAAAAAAAAAAAAGAAGAAACAAAAAAAAGAAACAAAAAAAAAAACGAAAAGATAGAAAACAAAATGTCTTTTGGTCTATTGAAAAAGGAAGATCCAAAAAAAGGAAAAACAGATGTCTTTGAAAGGAGGACACAAGAGGGAGATCAACCAAGGAAGCCTAGAGATCTAGAGGCAGACAAATATCACATCTGTGATAGTTATTTGTCTCAAGAAAACCAAAGAAGGCATAGGTGTGAAAGAGGAGTCCGAGATCATTATCATGACAACCCTAGAGATCTCTATCTTGAAATTTCATCATTCATTGGTAAAATTTTTGATCCAGACAGGTACTTGAAGTGGGAGAGAAGAATGGAACGTATTTTCAAATCCCATCCACTTTCAGAGTACATCAAGGTGCAAGTTGCGGCTACTGGATTTTGTGAGCATGCACTTTACTGGTGGTGTCTATTGAAAACCAAAAGGAGGCGTAATGGAGAGTATCCAGTGGAGACTTGGGCAGAGATGAAAGCAGTTATGAGAGAGAGGTTCATTCCCAACCATCACCAGCGTGAGCTAAATCAGAAGCTAAGGTGTTCTTCTCAGCCAAGCTATGAAGCTAGATCCAAGGATCCGCACATCAATTCAACCGAGGCCATTACTCGTGATATGAAATGTTTTAAGTGTCAAGGGAGAAGACACTGTGCAAAGGAATGCCCTAGCAAGCAAAACATGGTTCTTCTAGAAAATGGCGAAATCATGACCAATGAAGAAGAGGAGACTGACACAGGACCAATGTTTGATGAATATGAAGAGGATGCAGCCGAGGATGAACTATTGGTAGCAAGTGAGCAAAGTAACGCCAAGGAGCATGAGCAACAGGAAATCTGCAAAGATGATTCAGCTAAGGCGCTCACAAGGAGGTATCCATCATTATCTTTGCATGATTCATATACTCTGGATTTTAAATTGGTGGAAGAAGTGGATTTCGTTTTTGGAGATTCAGCATTTTCAAAACCAGTAAACAGAGTTCAGAGATTGCTGGCTGAGGTTATGAAGCCAAGCAGAGAGAAACCGAAGCTTCACTACTGGCCAAGCAAAACAGATCAGATTTTGGAAATCCAAGGAGCGAAAAGCAAACTAGGAGATCTCACTCAAAGCGGTGCAACTATCCTTCAGAATCAACAGAAGGGAGTAATATATTCCATGTTAATCAAGGAGAGTCCACCATCCTCACGTCAATACTTCCCAACCGAAGGCTGTACAGTTTCGAGGACGAAACTTTTTCAAGAGGGAGGGGATGATAGAATACTGAAAACGCTCAAAAAGACATATCTGCCTTGTTCTATACTGATGGGGTTCAAGCTCAACTCGTGCAGCTCAAAGACCACTTGGACTACATTCTCACCTCATCTGGAGCCCGTCTCGAAGAAAAATCATTCTTATCCGAGTTCAGATGAAGAAGTTATTGAGTTTTCAAATCAGGTGAACTCGAGGTTACTCAATTTGGACCTACGCGCATTCAAAGGAGGATTTCAACCAATCCAGAAGGAACTATTTTATGATCTCACTTGTTCTGGAATCTTGATTCATCACAGAAGCATGGAGAGTTGGAATCACTTCAAAAAGAGTTCAGACTTGGAAGATATGGATTTTACAACACAGTGGATCTGCTTCGGACCCAGTTTCGCGTCCGATCCAAAGATTGAGAACCAGAGCCCAACTCAGAAACGATCTCGACATGAAACCAATTGGAGAATCTTAACGGATCTGTTCTGGTTCCAACAAGCCCAAGATAAGAAGAAATTGCCATCGGGTGTCAGAGATACACCTCATTTTCCTAAATGGGTCAACATGGTTCTATACTTGATGATTTCTAGGCCTGATTGGTTTGAGAGCTTGCAGAGCTTTTCTACTAAGCCCAATATGAAGACATGACTCAGCCCATCTTGTTTCTGATCATCAAAATTCGTTCAAAGGAGTTAAAGAGACAAGAAGCTCAAGGGTTATTCAAAGAATATCAAGAGTCATTCAACCATTAGTTAATATTTGTCTTTAATTTTAGTCTAAGTAATAATTTCGAGATTGTCTTGTTTTCTTCACATTTCTACTCTATATAATCATGTAATCTCTAAGAGAAATAATCAGACCATCTTTTTATCAAACTTCTTCTTTGAGAGTAATTCTCACTTTTGTTCCTTATGAACATTTTCTGATTATTTGGAGGTTATCCTTTGATCATCTCACAGTGAGTCATATCCATTGTTCGATTGTTGGTGAGTCATATCTATCAATCACAACTCGATCTGTTTGGTGAGTCATATCCAGACGATCACAAACTAGGCTTGTCTTGGTGAGTCATATCCAATGAGTCATTTCGGTCAATCAGGAGCCTTTCTACAGCTACCTGTGTGACCATTCAATCCACATCCTTTGTTCTTTGAAGCCTTTTGGTTCCTTAGAAGCAAAGCTTATCCATTACCAACTTCAGAGTGCCGATTTCTTGGGAGGATTCTATCAGTTTCACAATATTCAGTCCTTCACTGTAGGTTGTCAAACAATTTATCGATCACTACAAATTCACACTATTTAGTTCCTCGTTGTAGGCCGTCACATTATATTGTATCCAAATAAGTTATATTCTAACAAGCGACTAAATAACTTACAATCCTATTATCATATTCCAATACTTCTCATTATGAATTATCATCAATAACCAATCAATAACCAATATCAATCACCATGATCAAATACCAATTATCAATCATGTTTAATTCCTACACTAAGCATACACACATTACTAAATAACCTAATATATCTTAGAAATCCACAAACGTGTCCTCACCTTTGCCACTTGATAATGAATAGCGAATCCGGTTCGCCTTTAGACAAATTTGATACCCGACAGGAAAACGATCATAACTTTCTGGTCACAGCTTAGAATGGATATCGGAAGATTGATATGGAAAGCTAGATTGTAGATCGTCTTCTGGAACTCCCTGGATCACAGGAAAAATGCATCACAATTCTGCTACTCGTGGATCGAATCTTTGTAAATATGGCTTGGGAAAACACTCATAACAATTTAGAAGGCAATTCGAAATAATGATCTTCTTGTGGCTATAGCTAGATATTAGAGTCTCGAATCACCTTACCAAGTTTCAGGCCGATCTGATCTGATTTGACCAACCGATTATTTCTCATGCCAGAACAAGTCGGATCAGCCTTCTAAATTGCTGCAGTGGCTTCTTTTTCAGGGTGTTTTGATGGTGGTTTCTCAAGCGTGATTCCGGCAAGGCTTCGTCCCAAGATCACTCTGTCTCCTCTCTACCATGAGCTCCATCTATTAATAGAGTGGAAGAGAGAACCCTAGGTTTGATTACAGAAAGTCAGAATTTCTCTTATTGATATCATTGAGTTTCAAACCTTGGGCTTTGGAGATTTCTCTTCTCCTTACATTAAGGCCACAAAATTTAGGTTTTGGAGATTTAGATACTTCTAAGAATTTGATTCAATACTTCCTGTCACTCTTTGGCTTTGCAAGTTATGGTTTTCTTCTTCGATATATTAAGATTAAA